TTAGTTAATCGAAATGTCTATCGACTGTCTACCAATTTACAAATTATTAGAACTAAACTTTACCAGTCTGTAATAAGTTCCCGCTCACAACTTGCGATAATTATTAATAGTAACGACTGCTAATTAGTGATGCGCCCGTCAAGAGCTAACATATATTGACGATATTAATAGATATTGATTAGTTTAAGCGTAATCACAAGTTATTAACAGTCACCCGAATATTGAAGTAATATTGAGTTGCATGACAAATTTATAAAACTCGTTAATTACAGTTTCAGTTTTGGGGTTTTGCGCGCAGTTTCAATTTCCAATGAGTTTGCACAATGCATAAAGTGTGTTTACAAAGAGTGTTTCCATTCGTTTGTTTTGCTTCCACTTTGTAATTTGCAACTTTCAATCAAATGCACTTTGTTTGCATCAAATGATTTGGCGTTTGCAATAAGTGCGGAATCGATAGGGAGTGATTTAGTTATTTGAACGAGATTGCGTGGAATTTCAATTTGTGTACGTATAGACTACAAATTAAGAAATTGCATTGGAAAATATTTAAAAATACGAATTTTACGTTTTATTTAAAACTATTAAAGATAAATTAGAATTTCTTTCACCAGTGAATAAACAGTTAAATTCTTCATCAAATTATTTTTAAATGGTGTTTTTATTGTTTTTATATCAAAAGTTATAAACAATTAAACTTATATTTTTGAAAAAATATATAAAATATAAATGTATTGACATGAAATTGTTTAGTTTTTAATAAATAACTCAGAAACAATTAAAGATAAATAAATTATCTTTTCACAAGTGAATAAACAATTAAATTCTACATCAAATTATTTTTAAACGGCGTTTTTATCATTTTCGTATCAAAAGTTATAAACAATCAAACTTATATTTTTTCTTTTCCAAAAAATATATAAAAATTTACTAAGTAATAGTTTAATTGGTTATAACTTTTAAGAAAATAAAGATATCAATAAACTGTTTTACAACTTGATAAAGAATTTAATTCTTAATAAACTCATGAAAAAATAATTAATTTATCATGATTAGTTTTTAAGTTATTAACAAAAATGTCAACATTTTCAACTTTTTTTCTCTTTTTTTCCTTTTTTATTTAATATTTCCTAAAATAATATCAGAAATACTACGAAATACATATTATTCCATTCATGTTTAAAAGTTTCTTAGACCAATTATAATAAACTCCTGAAGCAAATTATATTCACCGTCAAGTCAAAGACGAAAGTTGGTCACGAATCATCGAAAACAACCGCAAATTACGCCCTCAACTTAAACTACACAAACTACGAGTAGACCACAACCCAACAGTTGAATTTCATACGTAAAAAATATTACCTTTCAGGTGTGAATAAAATACAGTATTCGAGTACTTTGAAAACAAAAATGTAAAATTTTTGTCTGATCCCTGAATACACAAGCCGTAAATCCCTATCGCAAACCACTCAACTAGTCTGATTGGCTGCGTGCGTCGGAATCGAATCGAATCAAATCGAATACTTTGTATTTACAGAATCAGCGTGTGTTTGCAACTGGAGGCGAAAGGTATCGACCCTCAAATTACATTCTTCAACGCAGTGTTCCATTGTTGTGTTAACACAAAAGTCAAATGCAAAAATTACAGATTCCTGTAATTTTATTCATTCTTTTAAGTTTTAATTAAAATTTTATCTTCTGCACTTGCAAAAGCTTTTATTAAATGTAATTATAAAAGTGTTGAAATTTTTTATGTATTTTCATGGAAACTCAATTTTTATTTAATATTTTTCTATATATATAAAAATTCGATATGTAAAACTGGTTGTCAAGATTCCCTGGCAATTTCCTCAACGTATGCATATGAATTGTTTACAATTTGCGCCCGCACCGAAAACTCAGCTGGTAAACACTGTAAAATTCACATATTTATATCAGCTCGATATTCGCATCAAATATTTGCCTCATGGCGAGTAAATCGCATAAACATTTAGACATTTTCCACGCACAACATTTTTCGAAATTAGTTTTTATTAGTATACGTTATAAATCCTCCAACTATATACAACTACTAGCTTTATCCCACGGCTTCGCTCGCGTTGAATCCATCAAATAAATATTAGAAATCAATGAAGTTGCTTCCGTACGCGTCTGTAGTCACAGAAGAAGTAACAATGAAGTAGAATGGCGGGAAGTTTAAAATGGCTGAAAGTATAGTCTATGGAAGTATAGTGTACAGTCTCCATAGTGTAGTCAATTGGATTTGATGTTGACGTAGCTGTCGGTAATACAGTGTGATAATACAGTGTGATGGTACTATAGTACTTAGGTTTGAGCTTCATTGCTGGAATGCTAGATGGCGTTAAAGTAGTCAAATAGCCAGATGCAGAGGTATTATTGGCTAAACAATTTCTTTATTTTATTTAAAAAATAATTTTTTTTATTAAATAAAAAGTAGCCTATAACCATTCGGGGACCACTAAGAATATGTGTACAAATTTTCATGATGATCGGTTAAGTAGTTTATGCGTGAAAGTGTAACAAACATCAGGACATTCGCATTTATAATATTAGTAGGGATACACTTACACATGTAACGTTGGTTGCATATATTGCTCGAAACTTTGTAATTGAACATAAACTAAGCTGTAAGCTGTAATAAATTCCGGCTGAAAATATGAAAAATGCGCGCAATCTCGAATGCCATTTGCATAACGACGACTTTCATTTAACGTTAATTTCCATCCACCGAATTCAACATATTTCCCGCTGGCATTTTTGTAATGCTAGATATTATTCATATACGCAGTTAATATCAAATATAAACGTATTCACTGACTAGGAAACATTCCGCAGCGAGAAACAATTTAATAAATTACAAAAATACAAAGAAAAAAAAAAGAAAAAAAGCAATTAATTAATAAAAATTTACAATTCTCAAGAGAGATTCTTTTCTTTTTCTTGTATTATTTTTTTCTTTTGTATTGTTTCATTGTCGTTGGATTGATTTATCACCGATGAAAAATAGGTCGAGCGCATTACTAATTAATTGAATACACCTTTTATCGCAGGTGCAACACGTGTCCTCGCATCATTAATAATCGCACGTGTAAATATTTTCGCATTCGCGAAGGTATTTGCTGGAATATTCAGCAAGTATGCGTGAATCTAGGAATCTAGGAAAATAGGAATCTAGGACTAGGTCAATCGAAATGTATGTGTGTGTATACGAAGGGAAAGTGTACGAAGGGGGAATTGATCGTGCGGAGAGTTTATTTGACGAAAGTTGGTCACACTTTGAAATTAGTTCTATTTTTGGAGTTGTGAAGTGAAAAGAAAAGTTTTTTGAGTAAAGTAACGCCCTCTACCGGTGAAAGCTTGATTTTAAGTTATAACACTGCAGTATAGGCAACAGTATATACCTTAAATTAATTTAATGTATATTTGGTTGCATAAAACTTAATATTTTAGTCTTTAACGTAAAAAACTGATTTTTTACTTTAAATTTTGTGAATTTAATTTGAAATTTCTAAAATAAAAAAATTTGTTATTGAAAAAACTGCAAAATTTTAATTATTAATTAAAATTTGACAAAATAATGTCAAAAACATCGAAATATAGGCAACAGAATATACAGAAATTAATTTAATGAACATTTGGTTGCATAAAGTATATGAAAATTAATGTTTTTTAATTAAAAATTAATCTAGATTGATGAATGCACAAATATTTTAACTTTATGAAAATTAAAATCAAATTAAATAAAATTTTAGTTGTTTAATTAAAAAACCAATAAAAATTCTATATGTATGTGTGTGTGTCACTCTATTTGTATGGATAGGTTATGAGATGAATTACCATTGATCAAATCCAGATGGAGTTGATTAAACGAGACGGGATATGACTTGGGACATTGCGTCATCCATATCATGTGTGTCCTATGTAATTTACCTGCAATTCGTCAACAAGCGCACCGTCGCCAATATTAATAAACCGGACACTTGAAGGCGCCACGAGGTAATTTCATCCCGGAAATTATATTTGATGTCAACAACATTAGATATTACAAATTACAAATTACGAATCATAATGTAAATCATGTAAGTTTTCTTTAATTTAATTTTTTTGTTTTTTGTTTTTATGATTTTTTATGTATGCAACCCAATATGCAAGGTACTTAACGATGCTTTTTATGATTGAATGAATATTTTGTGCATAGTCATGTATAAAACGCGCGTAATGAAACAAGCGGCGACTTTTTGCCGATCACCGATCGCTTTTGATATATTAGTCCGCCGACTCGCAGACGCGTTGTTCAGCATCCATGTCCAGACGTGCGCTCCTTATCACCACTTGACGCATTCTTCTATTCATTTAGCAATTTGCGAGCATTTTTGGGTATTGGTTAATTTTTTTAAGCAAAAAATTTGATTTTCTGGGAAAAAAATCATTTTTTCTTTAAATTTTTCGATTTTCTTGCTTTAAAAACCGTTTTTATTAATTTTTATACTTTTAAATAATTTTAAACAACAAAAACAAGTGTCATACTCATTTTAAACAATTTTAAAATTAATTTTTTGTGTTTTTTTGCCGAATTTTAAAATAAAACTTAATTTTATTCAATTATCAGCCTTGCTAATCAAATTGTTACTCTAAACTTTGATTTTAATTAAGCAAGACTCTGATTGCGACGAATTTAAATTGCTAATTTTGTTTTGTCAACGTTTAGACACATTTAATTTACTTTCGCGTTGTATTTCGCGCAGCGAAAATTCTCGCGTATAAATAAATGGTGGAGGCGCCGGGCATTATTATTTTCAAGCCCGAAATTAAAATATTTGCGCCAGATAAATATTTAATAATTAATAAATCATTATGACACAGAAAAAGAGTTAGAGTTAGACTCTGGGCGGGTGGAAACGATTTCCAGGCGGCCCGATCGGAGCGACGACGCAAAGCTTGCGAAGAACGAGCTTTCCTCGCCAGTATCACGTCGCGCGTTGCAGGAATCGTATCGTGCGGAATTTCACTTACGTGGGCAATGAAACTACGACGTCCAAACTAGTAATAATTAATGATTTTATGCAAATAATTGAAGTTAAAAATAAAAAAAGTGAAAATTTTGGAATAAATTTTATTTCCAGTGAGTATAATTAATTAATTAATTTTAATCATGTCAAAAGTTTTAATAATTAATTATTTATAGTTGAATATGTAATATTCTCAAAGGTGATCAATCAAATAATAATTTTCAGTTGAATTTTAAAATTAATTTTGAAAATTTAATAAGAACTAGTTTAATATTCCGTTTGAAATGTGCAACAATGTTTGTTTTGCGATAGGTTCAGTTCGTGTTTTATGAAGGTGTGTGAATTCATTGAATCCTCGGAAAATCGCACCGCTTCGGGGCATATTAACGGCTCACGCAAAGGATCATAACCGAATGCGAATTCCCTCGAGTAAGAATCTCATCAAAATTCAGCGCTATACGACCGCAAAAACCAAAGAGAAAAAGTTACACACACACACATATATTGAATGTCTATATTATATAACTTATCTTATCTTATTCAATTAGTTGCGGTTACACTAAATTAAATCAATTTGTGTTTTGTGATGCAATAAATTTATAGAGAGCGAGTTGTTTCGGAAATTTGATCATTGGATATTGAGTAGGTACGTAATTTCAATGCATTATTCATTGGACGTTATCAAACTAGTTATAACCGAGTTTAGCGATACTAAAAGGGGATTATTGCTAAGAGCATGCCAACAAACAAGAAACGTGCTGGATTCCAGCATGAAACATGGTGATATAGGCAACAGAATATACAGTAAATTAATTTAATGTATATATGGTTGCATAAAATGTAATATTTTGATGTTTTGCTTGAAAAATGATAATTTAGTTTAATTTTTGAGAGATTAAATTAAAATTTTTAAAATAAAAGTATTTTAAATTGAAAAAAAGGTAAAATTTTTAATTTTAATTAAAATTTGACGAAATAATGACACAAATATTGAAATATAGGCAACAGAATAAACAGAAATTAATTTAATGTATATACAGTTGCATAAAATAAGTTTATATGTTGTCTAACCTCAAAAAATTATGTTTTACATTAAATTTCGTTTTTTTAACGTAAAATTTTTAAATCAAAAGAATTTTAAATCCAAAAAAAACTATAAAACTTTTAATTTCACTAAATTTTTTTCTTATTATTATCATGTTAACTCTACTATAGGCAACCCACTATACCCTAAAACTAATTTAATGTACATTTGGTTGCATAATACAAACAAATTTCCCTATCAAAATTTAAAAAATTCCTATTTCACCTCCAATGACGTTTGTTTAACATGCTTATCTATAAATACGCAAACAGGTAGTGTGTGCATAGAATAAAGCAAATATTTAACTACTACCTGCACCGATTAGTCCGATATTTATGATGTGAGTGTTGTTTAACCTTCGAATCGAAATTAATTAATACTCGGAACCATTATCTTCATATTCTCTGATTAAGTCATCGATATAATTTCGGCAAAACTGTTTTTGTCACTTCTATCTGATCAGAATCAATCTTCATCCTTTGTGTTTTTTTGCTTTTGTTTGATTCTCATATGTGGGACGGAATGAAGGAAAGAAGAAATTCCGGCGCTGTGTCGGCACGTTCTTTATTTTTCTACGATATCGCGCTGTCGGTTTTATTTTTTAGGCGGATGTGACCAGAAACACAATGTGAACAAATGGCACGCATCTGATAGCAATAAAAACGCGAATTCTTCTTGGCATTCTCCTTAGATACATGTACATTGTTTTTACTAGAAGACTGTTTTATTTCTTTGTATTCCAACAAGAGTATTAGTATGTGTTTTTTATTTAAATCAATTCGGTATGATCATAGAGTGAAAAAGTAAACAATGAGATGTATTTTGTTTATTAAATTTATTTTTGTATTTTTATCTGGGAATAGCAAGATGTGTAATATTATGATTTGTGTTTCTATTGAAATTCTATGAGAATACGATGGATTTTCATGTTTTTATTTATTTTTTTAGTATTTTGCAGAGATAAAGATGAATAATTCATGATATACTGATAAAATCATATTTATTTTTATTATTTTATTAATCTATGTGAATATTAGGTCGATTTTTTGTTTTAAAATTTTAAATATTCTTTAATTTCCGTAAATTTAAAAAAAAATTGAAAAATTAGATAAATTTATTTAAAAAATATATTTCAGCTGTGTATTTATAAAACTAGCGTCTAATTACAGTAATTATGGTTTAATTAAAAGAAAAAAGAGGAATATTTAATACAAATACTAAACTTTATTCACTATTATTTGACGTTTTAATGTTTTTAAGGTTATAAGGTCATACTGCAAGGCAATAAATTAAGATTATGACTTTATGGCACGGAGAAAAATAGCAGAAGTGCTTGTAAGTTTCAAAAAGCAAAAATAAAGTTGGCACATGCCGGGAATTCAGTAAACATTGAACGTGAAAAGATTAAACGATTTAACATGACTTTCAAGAACAAGAAAGCGCAATAATTCATTGAAAATTTCATCAAAAACCTTTTTCTATTGTTCCTAGCCTTATTTGCTTAAAGATTAATAAATAATTTAATAAAATCTTATTTATTTTCAATAATTTTAATTAATTATTAAGTAATTTATTTAAAAAAGCAATAATTTTTCATTATTTTCTTAAAAACTTTGAAAAATCCGTAAAATTTTTGATATATACGTCTGGTTTGAAAGTGATAAGTGCCAGCACGTGAATATTATAATATATTTCGGCCGAGAAAACCCCCGGGGGCGGCAGGTGGTGTCATACCAATCCTTCAACTTTGTCTTTTCGGCGCACACATTTTTCATATCATCCATGAAACCACATCACGAATATCTCTTAAGAAGAAAAAAATTATACATGTCATGCAATTTCCAAACCACTGAATGATTGAGTACAGAACATGTCATACATCAATTTTGTTTTACTTTGTAAAATTTAAATTAAAGAACTTACAAGGAAAAAAATAGCAAAAAGTTTAAATTAACTTTAAAAGTTTTATTGTGTTGAGTGCAAAATAGTTTCAAAAGTACAATCTGTCCATGGTTAATTAAAGCGCCAACATCCGGCTCCGAAAGTTGGCTTAATGAAGTTCTTAATGAAGAAATTATAACGCGCGCGAAACTTGCGCGACTCGTCTGCGTGCTATCGCATCCACTCACATTTATTATCATCTACTAAAGTACTCGTACGTACAAACCGGAAGAGCAGTCGCACAACTTCTGGACTATTATACTATCAACAAATCACTCTGCCAACTACAATTATTATATCATTTTGCAACATTATGACTAGTGCAGATAACTTTTACGATGTCAAGCATATGTATATGATTCATATTTGCTTAATCATATTTTCCGACGATTTTCGATAGGGAATATCTTCTAAACTAAAAGAGATAGCGATCAGCGGATTGCAGATTAAGAAAGATTGAATAATTTTCTATTAGATAAGAATTTAAAATTATTTTATTTCAAAGAGTAAAAGGTCGAAAAATGCGACTAAAGTGCTAAAAAGTGACATTTTTCAATTTTTGACCATTTTCTTCAATTGTGAATATCTCGTAAACTAAAAGAGATATCGACCAGCGGATTGCAGATTAAGAAAGATTAAATAATTCTCTATTAGACAAGAATTTAAAATTATTTAATTTCCTAGAGTAAAAGGTCGAAAAAGGGAACTAAAATTGCTAATTTGTGAAATTTTTCAAAATTTGACTTTTTTCAATTGTGAATATCTCGTAAACTAAAAGAGATAACAACCAGTGAATTACAGATTATTAAAGATTTGTAAATTCTCTATTAAGTACAAAAATAAAATAATTAAATATCGCGGAGGAAAAGCTCCAAAAATGCAACTGAAACTGCTAATTTCTGAACTTTTTCATTTTTTCCATTTTTTTTTTCAATTGCGAATATCTCATAAACTAAAAAAGATAAAAAGAAACGGATTGAAAATTCTCAATCTACATCAAATTCTCTATAAGATAAAATGTATCTGACATATATTTTTATAGATGTATCAAAGAGAGGCGACTATTTAATGATGATGACTACCAGAAAGCAAATGAAACATGTTGACAGCATGTTTGAAACACTTGCACAAAGAAGTGTACGGAAAATAGAACACAGACGGCCGTCACGAGCCAGGAAAAAGTTGAAAGCCGTCAGAAACGTTTGAGGCACCGTGTGTGGGCTACGCTTTTTGTTTGATGTATTACATTTCAAAGCGGGATCTCAGCTTGCACGAATTGCATTCTTGTTGGGCAGATTAAAAACCTTCGAAAAAATTTTAAACAAAATACGTCTTGGAAAACTGCTTTGATTGGCGGTAGATAAAGCTAAGCATCCTAGAACCCCCATTATCATCAAATTCAGGTTCAATAGGGGCGAGAAATACCGGTATTTGTAACGGTAAACCGGTATTTTTACAAGTTGATGAAAAAAATTGAAGAAAAACTTACACAATTTTTATCGACATAAAATTGTGTTAATTTTAAGAATAAAATACCGGTATACCGGTATATTAACCGGTATTAGTATCGGTATACCGGTATTTTGGAAAATCGATATTTTTTTATACAAATACAAAAAAAAATTAAAAACATAAATAATTGAATTTTTAAAAACCGGTATTACCAATTAACCGATATTTTAACTTAAAAAAATACTGAAATACCGGTATTAAACTAAAAATTCCTTAAAACATCCCAAGTGACATCTTAAAAAGTCCTAAATGGCAATATTTATTATGATGTTAAACAACATTCATTGCTTCGGCAATATTCGCTTTTATTACCGGTAAACGAATGTAATGGCCACTGGCACGCTCGAAAAGGCGCGTGTTGTATTTAATGGCGGTCATTAAACTGGGCTTTTGTGCGCGTCTCATCCAGTTGAGGAAATAAAAGATCTAGGAAACTCAAGTGGGATCTTCACCACTTTCGCGTCACGATCGTATTCCTACTTTATGTATAGTATACATGCCTGTAATTTGCAATAAAGTATAGTGGGTTGCAGCCCCTGTGCGCATATCGACATGTACGTAAATCAGTTTCTATTT